TTCTTTATATGGATGCTTAATAGTCATAGGTTGTCCGAAAAAATATGCTCAAGATGATGTTTTCGAGAAATGTAGGAAACACAACCTAAAGTTACATCCTGAAAAATGTTCATTTTCATGCATGAAGTCACTTTCTTAGGACATAAATGCACAGATAAAGGAATCTTGCCTGACGACAAAAAATACGACGTAATTCAAAATTATCCAGTCCCACATGATGCGGACAGCGCTAGAAGATTCATTGCATTTTGCAATTATTACAGACGTTTTATAAAGAATTTTGCTGAATACTCCCGTCACATAACAAGGTTATGTAGAAATATGTAAAATTCGAATCGACAACACAATGTCAAAACGCCTTCGAACATCTTTAATCAGCATTAATAAATCCGACTGTGTTGCAATACCCAGATTTTAGCAAAGAATTTTGCATAATCACAGATTCTAGCAAATACGCTTGTGGAGCAGTCCTAACTCAAAACAAAAATGGACGGTTCCAGTTGTATACGCATCAAGATCCTTTACAAAAGGTTAAAGCAACAAGAGCACTACAGATCAAGGATTAGCATCCATTCATTGGGCAACAACACACTTCAGACCATATATTTAAGGTAGACACTTCACTGTCAAAACAGACCATAGAGCACTTACCTACTTATTTTCAATGGTAAATCCCAGTTCCAAACTAACACGAATGAGACTTGAATTGGAGGAATATAATTTTACGGTTGAGTATCTAAAGGGTAATGATAACTATATAGCCGATGCGCTCTCTAGAATAACCATCACAGACTTAAAAAATATACTAACAAACAATACAATTCTGAAAGTCACTACCAGAAACCAAAGTAGACAAAAATCCTGTGCAGGGAAAGAACAAATAGAATTGCATAAGCAATCTCTAGAAAAAGCTTCAAAGCCCAACGTATATGAAGTCATTAATAATGATGAAGTACGTAAACTAGTGACCTTGCTTGTAAATTATAAAATGTGTTTATTTAAGCACGGAAAGAAAATTACAGCAAGATATGATGTTAGCGACTTGTATACTAATGGAACCATTGACTTAGGTCAATTCTTTCAAAGGCTTGAAAAGCAGGCCGGTATTCACAAGTCAACCAACTCAAAGTGGCACCGTGGGAAAATATCTTTGAACATGTTTCAATTGATAATTTTAAAATTATGGGCAATAATATATTGAAACATTGAGTAGGCACTAACCCGTACCGTAATAAAAATAATAAAAAAAAGCTAAGCACATTCCATGATGATCAATACAAGGAGGTCATACAGGCATTACAAAAACCTTGGCCAAGGTCCAGAGACGCTATTACTGGAAAAATATGTCTAAAGACATAAAAGAGTACATAAAGAAATAACATAAATGCCAAAAGTCTAAAGCGACTAAACATACCAAGACCCCATTAACTATAACCAAAACTCCCCAAAGAGCTTTCGATAGGGTAATAGTGGATACAATTGGTCCACTACTAAAATCTAATAATGGAAACGAATACGCAGTAAAACTCATCTGCGATTTAACTAAATATCTAGTAGCTATACTAAACACAGTAGCGAAAGCTATATTTGAAGATTTTATTCTAAAGTACGGTCCAATGAAGACGTTCATTACGGACTTGGGAACGGAATATAAAAATTCAATTATTGAAGATCTATGTAAAAATCTATATATTAAAAACATAACTTAAACTGCAGATCACCACCAGACTATAGGTACCCTGGAGAGAAGGCACAGAACACTCAATGAGTGCATTCATTCATACATCTCAGTTGACAAAACAGATTGGGATGTATGGCTACGATACTCCGTTTATTGTTTTAATACGACCCCCTCTATGGCACATGACTATTGTCCATATGAGCTAGTTTTTGGTAAAACTTCAAATTTACCAAAACATTTTAGTATAGATAACATAAAACCCCTTTATAATATAGAAGACCATGCTAAGGAATCAAAATTTAGATTAGAACAGGCATTTAAGAGAGCTAGACTAATGCTAGAAACTCATAAGCTAAAACAAAAAATTAGTTACGACAAAAATACTTTGGATTTTGATTTAAAAATAGATCAGATTTTATTGAAAAATGAAAAAGGACATAAGCTAGATTTTAAATATACAGGTCCTTATAAGGTAGAACAAATAGGAGATAGAGATAACATAACTATATCAAACAATAAAAATAAGAAATAATTAGAACATAAAGATAGATTAAAAATTTTTATTTCATAATCAATTGAATTCTTTTATAAATATATCACGTATGGCCATACATAAGATAAGCATATGTAAAATAAGAGTATATATATATATATAAATATATATGTATATAAAAACATTAAATTTTTATTTCTATATCATTTCTTAATTTCTATAAAATTCATAATTAAATTAGAAAATAACTCCATTATATTACGTTATTTTTCAAAAGCAGGGAGATGTATATATGTATTGATCACCCACTGTACTAAGAATACTATAAGGGTACACACTGTAACACTTTGTTGCAGTGTTTACGTAATTCAAGGTCTCGGTCATAAACCTAAGTGGCCGAAACACCTACCGATCGCTATGCCTTGGACCGCACACAGAAAGTGCATGTGTCGGCATAAATGTAACACGAGCGGACCTCATGTATGTGCATATACCTCCGCGCTCCAGCCTAAGTGAGCATAGCTATATACTTAAGAATATATAACCGTCTCTCCGCTGCCGCTGTTGGCAGCGCAGCTACGAGACTTAGACCTCTTTAGCTTCTAAGTCAATTTGTTAAAAAAGACTCCTTTGAGCTCAGAGCGGCATGGTTGGAGGGTTAATTAATCAACAGAAGTCTACTAGAATAAGAAGGTAAGTTAAGATTTGCATCCCAGTTTAGGCGCCGTAAAGCAAAAAGAAGAAAGTTTTTTTGTACTGATTCAATATGAGCAATATGTATTCCGTATTGTGGACTCCAGATGGGAGATCCATACTCCAGAATCGGACGGACTAACGAAATAAATAAAGTTTTAGTTAAATAAGGATCATCGAATTCTTTTGACCACCTATTAATAAATCTTTGGACAAAATGTGGTTTGAAAATTTTAGTTTAGGGTCAAAGAAACCGCCATGTTTACAAGAGTTATTCTATCCATAGAGCTGCCACTTAATGTGTAAGTCGCGTATATCGGATTGACTCGATAAAAAGTCATCAGCTTGCACTTGGATGCGTTTAAATTTAGTAAATTATCTAGATCGGATTGCAAGTCTTAATGGCAGGAAATGTCCTTTACTGCAGGCACAACTTAACATCATATGCGTACATAAGTACGCGAGAATGACTTATAACTGAGGGAAGATCGTTAATAAATAATGTAAAAAGTAACGGACCCAGATGGCTCCCTTGTGGGACACCGGAGGTAACGCGGAGAATTTCGAAAATTGAATTTTTAAAAAGGACCCTTTGTGACCTGCCATTCAGATAACTTGAAATCCATTTAAGCAGATCAACTGGAAAACCTAACAGGTCAAGTTTCCAAACAAGAAGTATGTGATTTACAGAGTCAAATGCTTTACTAAAGTCAGTGTAAATGACGTCTGTTTGAAAACTACTATTGAAGCCTTTTATCACAAATGAAGTGAGCTCTAGAAGGTTTGTGATTGTGGATCTACGTTTAATAAATCCATGTTGACACGGAGAAATGATTGATCTGCAAAGGGGCTGCAAATGAGGAGTAATAATTTTTTCAACAAGCTAAGGAATAGCTGACAACTTAGAAATACCTCTGTAGTTACTGGCTTCTAACTTGTTACCTTTTTTGAAAAGAGGAATAACAAATGATTCCTTCCAAATATTTGGGAATTGGGAGGCTTCTAGAGATAAGGTAAACAACTTGTGAAGAGGTTTGCACAGGGCCTTAGCGCAATACCTAAGCACGCACCCAGGAATACCATCGGGCCCTGGCAAATAAATAGGCTTAATACGAAGAAAATCCAAAAGAAGAGAGCTTTCTGTTAAAGTGGGACAGAATATGAGGTTTGACTTGGACATGGTGTAAGAATAAGGCTGTGATGAATAATCTAAAGTAGAGAAAGTCGTTTGAAAAAAATTGGGGAAATAAATCGGCTATTGCCTGATCTGTGGTTGCTGTCATGTCTTCGAACGACAGTGAGGAAGAAAAAGAATTAGATTTACGCTTGGTGTTAACGAAATTGTAAAACTGTTTCGGGTCCTGAGAGAACTGGACCTTACAACGGTTTAAGTAACTATTATAACACTGAGCATTAAGCACGGTAAATCTTGACCGAGCACTTAAATATCTAGTAAAAACAGATTGAGAACCGGTACTTTTATACTTCCTAAAAAGTTACATTTCTTAAAAGTGTCAACTCTTTGCTATACCAAGGCGATTTTTGGGAATTTAACGGATAGTACCACGGAACACAGGAATTAAAAAATGAGTTTATTGCAGTGTAATGAGTTTATTGCAGTAAGTAAAGATCAGACCAATTAAAGCCAGAAATAAAATTATTTAGCCTCAGGAAGTCTGCCTTGCGAAAACAATGTATTCGTTTGGATGATTTTTCTGATTTTTCTTCTATAACTATACCCGTATCAAATGAAAGTTCGATTGTAGGGTGATATGGATCTTCAGGTTGCGTGAGTGGTGCTACTCTGGACAGAAACACACCTTCAGGATTTGATACAAAACATAAATCAAGTAGGCGACCTAAAGAATTTCGAACATGGTTTACTTCAGATAAAGATATGTCAAGCAGGCAGTCAATAAAATAATGCTGTGCTATAGGTAGTAAGACATTCGATCCATCCTCAGTGGACCAAGTAACTCCAGGTATATTAAAATCACCTAGAACTACCAACTGATCCCTATCGGAAAGCTTATTTGCAACAGACTTAATAACGGAAAAGTTGTGACGCTGTCACAATATCATATATATATTTAAATAAAAAGCAAATCCCCAAGCAACGTACTATTATTTCAGGCTCTCTATGTGGCAACCAGCACCGGGTTCTACTCTACTAGCAGCCGTAATCCCGTTCTGTGCCTCTTGAGCAGCGGGACGACTCCTGTCACCCAACAGTCGGATTGGACGAAGGAAGCAAAAGCAGCAAGGGAGGCACACCGCCAGTCAGGAGAATTCGTTGGTCAGAATCAATCAAATGTCAATAATCTTATTGAAATAAACCTAGTTATAATCAATTCTCCACGACTTCTACTCTGGGCTGGGTCGGAATTCTCTTTCAGCAACCACGCCGTACACAAACAAATTTCTGTGACGAACCCTGGCCATCCCTGAGCCAACCTACAACGACAAACCGCCACAGTGGCGCCCGACCGACTCCGGCGGAGTAATGTCGAGCTGGGTATATCTGGCACCAAAGAGTGAACTAACGAAATACACGGAAGAGTTCGGGTTTGGAACGGCAGAAAGAAGCGAAGATTTAAGACGTTTGTTGGCAGCGTTCGCCAAAAAAAACGGATCATACAGAAACAGTCAGACAAGGAGACAACAGCTGGTATAATGGCCACCAAAGGCGCAAGTCTAAGTGACGAAATGGACGAAAAGTGAGAAATAAAAATGGAGAGGAAAATGGAAAAAGAAGTCATAGACCGGATACGCGGTTGGGGCATCCGGTACCAAGGAACAACAACCCCACTGGAGTTCCTAAGCTAAATGGAATACAGACGATGCCATTCATCCTGGAAGGGGTCGCGAGCGAATGGGGGAACACCACGCCGAACAGGATCGTAAAGTAGACTCATCTTAGAACGGAACTGCTGGAATACTTTTTGCCGCCGAGGTATGAGGAACAGTTGGAGACTCAAATTGCACAGATGAAACAGAGAGAAACGGAGCCCGTAAGAGAATACGCAATGGGACTAAGAAAACTGATGCAATTCACAAAACTCTCAGAAGAAGCAAAACTGGACCGAGTAAGATAAAGCTATACGCTAGGAGGACAGGATTCAGCTCGTTGACAAAATTCCTCAAACTAGCGGAGGAAGTAGAAGAAATAGAGGCAGAGGACCTGACACAGACAAGCCAACCTGCACAGCTGCAACTAAGACCGGAGATATGCATGCGCTGCGGAAGAACCGGATATGCGGCAGCAATTCGCCGAGGCTGTTTTGCTGGATCTGTGGAAGAAACGGTACGAGAACCAAGGAGTGCTGCAGGGCAGGGCCGGGAAACGCAGGAGGCCTGAGCAGATGAAGCTGGCAGCTCAGGCGGCAATAAAAGACCCAGCAGCAGGGGAACAGCTGTGTTGCGACGGGTTCCAAATAGTAGCCCGGATAAGGGTCGGAAACAAGACAGCGAAAGGAATCGTGGACACAGGAGCGTCGAGAAGCGCAGTAAGCTGAAGCAGATTTGAAATAACAAGGCAAATGGTGTGGAACCCGAGCAGAAATAACAATGGTGTTGAAGCGCAGAACGCAAATGATGAAGTTTATGTTAAGATAGACATAAGTAACAGCTTAAGAGAGCCCAACTGCGTTATGCTCAGCGCCAAAGCTAAAATCAAATTCAGCGGGCCTACAAAGGCTCTCACAAAACTGCTCTGCTGGGCACAATAAAGTAGTGGAATTTTGAAGATCGAATCGGCCAGTCTTGTGTTTTCTCCTTCCCCCAAATTTTGCAGCAGCCAAGCCAAGTCTTTTCACTTTTCGGCATTCTCAATTATTAATAATTAATTATTTTCGTTTCGATTTTCTACATGGCGCCCGAACAGGGACTACCGAAAAGTTTTGTTCGGATTTAAAATCATTTCAAAGATCGCTGCTTGCGAATTTCGGGGCCAAGACTTGGCATTTTTTGGCATTTTGTATTTGCAATTTTCGGCGCCAACAATTGGCATTTTTCGGAAGTGGAAGTGGAACTGGAGCCAACATCTATGGACCGCAACACCAACACGAGGGAAGTGGACTCATCTGATGACCAGGTAACAGTGTCAAATCAATAGTTTATCGCTGCAAAATTGCCTTGGCATTGGTCAAAATAATAATAATAATTGGAAGCAAAACAATTTTTGTGCCTATATATTCCCAATAACCACAAATAAAAACCGCTACAAAATTGTGAGATAACCAATACAAAATTAATAAAACAAAAAATCAATAAATAAATTAAAGTGAACAACCACATAGTTTTGGTGCCGCCCTTGCGAAAGAGATTAACAGTTAGTTCTCGCTGTGTCTGCCTTTTCGTTTCGATTTTGTTTTAGCTGTTTTAACTTCGAATTTTTTGCAGACCGCTAAGCGCCAGTGCAACGAACTGCAACTGCTTGTGTTTTCTCTTTCGGGTGTTGGTGCACGCTCTTAATTACGTTCTCGTCTCTCATTTCTTTTGTTACGCCAAATGCTCTACACTTGAATAAATTTATTCGAGCCACCCAGAAATAACTACATAAATACACAAAAAAATAAAAGAAAACTATTGGTTATATTGTAAATAAATTAAATAATTTTTAATTAAAATGGCACCTACAAAAATCAAAAAGAATGATAGCGCATCGGAGACAGAACGGGAGATGGAAGATAGCTGCTCCTTGGTGCAATTAACGAAATTATTTCCGCAGGTAGATAAATAAAATAAAAATAATCATATAATAAACATACAGGGAATAAGTCAGGAAGTTACCAAATCAAAAGGCTTAACTCTCATTGAAATACAAACTTCTAAATATATAATCCCACACGATTTCCATATCGTAAATATGCAATTCGCTATTCCATGTGATGGAATACTAGGGATCGATTTTATCAAAAGATACAACTGTCAATTAGACTTCAAGCCGTCTGAGGACTGGCTTATAATAAGACCAAATAACCTAAAATATCCAATTTATGTTAAAATAACATACAGTTCTGGCAACAACTCCCTAATTCTGACGGCAAGATCCCAAGTCGTGCGAAAAATCGAAATAAATTCAGAAGAAGACAGTGTATTAATTCCGAATCAAGAAATTCAGCATTAGATACCATGCTGAATTTCTTGATTCTCAAATACCAAAGCAACAGTCCAAAATGCATATATAAGATTACTAAATACGACAAACACAGATCAAGTAGCTTATATCAAAAATATTCATCATGAACCACTTTCAAACTACGAAGTAGTAGTAGTTGAAACCAGACAAAAAATTGTATTATCCCAACTTGCAAAAAATTTCCCGCCTCAATTCAACAAAAGCTGAGATTAATTCATGATGAACCCGTATATATAAAAAAATTATAGAAATCCTCATAGTCAACAAGACGATATTCAAAAACAAGTCCAAAAACTCATCAATGATGAAATAGTGGAACCCTCTGTATCACCTTATAATAGCCCACTTTTACCAAAAAAGTCACTTCCAAATTCGGAAAATAAAAAATGGCGATTAGTAATTGACTATCGTCAAATTAATAAAAAACTCTTGTCTGATAAATTTCCACTCCCTAGAATAGATGATATTTTAGATCAACTAGGTAGAGCAAAATGTTTCTCATGCCTTGACTTAATGTCAGGTTTTCATCAAATTGAACTGGAAAAAAGTTCACGGGATATAACATCCTTTTCAACAAACAATGGTTCGTATCGCTTCACGCGATTACCATTCGGTTTAAAAATAGCGCCAAACTCTTTTCAGATCATGACTATAGCTTTCTCTGGGTTAGAACCTTCGCAAGCATTTCTTTATATGGATGTCTTAATAGTCATAGGTTGTTCCGAAAAACATATGCTCAAGATGATGTTTTCGAGAAATGTAGGAAACACAACCTAAAGTTACATCCTGAAAAATGTTAATTTTTCATGCATGAAGTCACTTTCTTAGGACATAAATGCACAGATAAAGGAATCTTGCCTGACGACAAAAAATACGACGTAATTCAAAATTATCCAGTCCCACATGATGCGGACAGCGCTAGAAGATTCATTGCATTTTGCAATTATTACAGACGTTTTATAAAGAATTTTGCTGAATACTCCCGTCACATAACAAGGTTATGTAGAAATATGTAAAATTCGAATCGACAACACAATGTCAAAACGCCTTCGAACATCTTTAATCAGCATTAATAAATCCGACTGTGTTGCAATACCCAGATTTTAGCAAAGAATTTTGCATAATCACAGATTCTAGCAAATACGCTTGTGGAGCAGTCCTAACTCAAAAAAAAAATGGACGGTTCCAGTTGTATACGCATCAAGATCCTTTACAAAAGGTGAAAGCAACAAGAGCACTACAGATCAAGGATTAGCATCCATTCATTGGGCAACAACACACTTCAGACCATATATTTAAGGTAGACACTTCACTGTCAAAACAGACCATAGAGCACTTACCTACTTATTTTCAATGGTAAATCCCAGTTCCAAACTAACACGAATGAGACTTGAATTGGAGGAATATAATTTTACGGTTGAGTATCTAAAGGGTAATGATAACTATGTAGCCGATGCGCTCTCTAGAATAACCATCACAGACTTAAAAAATATACTAACAAACAATACAATTCTGAAAGTCACTACCAGAAACCAAAGTAGACAAAAATCCTGTGCAGGGAAAGAACAAATAGAATTGCATAAGCAATCTCTAGAAAAAGCTTCAAAGCCCAACGTATATGAAGTCATTAATAATGATGAAGTACGTAAACTAGTGACCTTGCTTGTAAATTATAAAATGTGTTTATTTAAGCACGGAAAGAAAATTACAGCAAGATATGATGTTAGCGACTTGTATACTAATGGAACCATTGACTTAGGTCAATTCTTTCAAAGGCTTGAAAAGCAGGCCGGTATTCACAAAGTCAACCAACTCAAAGTGGCACCGTGGGAAAATATCTTTGAACATGTTTCAATTGATAATTTTAAAATTATGGGCAATAACTATAACCAAAACCAAAGAGCTTTCGATAGGGTAATAGTGGATACAATTGGTCCACTACTAAAATCTAATAATGGAAACGAATACGCAGTAAAACTCATCTGCGATTTAACTAAATATCTAGTAGCTATACTAAACACAGTAGCGAAAACTATATTTGAAGATTTTATTCTAAAGTACGGTCCAATGAAGACGTTCATTACGGACTTGGGAACGGAATATAAAAATTGAATTATTGAAGATCTATGTAAAAATCTATATATTAAAAACATAACTTAAACTGCAGATCACCACCAGACTATAGGTACCCTGGAGAGAAGGCACAGAACACTCAATGAGTGCATTCATTCATACATCTCAGTTGTCAAAACAGATTGGGATGTATGGCTACGATACTCCGTTTATTGTTTTAATACGACCCCCTCTATGGCACATGACTATTGTCCATATGAGCTAGTTTTTGGTAAAACTTCAAATTTACCAAAACATTTTAATAGTATAGATAACATAAAACCCCTTTATAATATAGAAGACCATGCTAAGGAATCAAAATTTAGATTAGAACAGGCATTTAAGAGAGCTAGA